AATATAACCCCCCCCCCCCCATTTATCGACTTTCTGGCGTCCCCTATACTGCCCATATTTGTTTTCATTCTGTGATGTTTATATGTTTATTGTTTATAGTCTGAGCAGAGATACATGTGTGGATTATGAGAAAGGAGACTCAATTCAAGTCTTCGAAATTATAATGTACGTTTAACAATACAGTATTAAATTTCTCTTTATTAAACTATCTTATCTCTTATTGCTGCCAAACACACGTTGATAATATTTCCGCAGAGTTCACTAGTCCATGCGTCTCCCCAGTGGCGTAACGTTATATCAGGGGGCCCCCGGGTCAAAATTTTCGAAGGCCCCCTAGTAGAAGTGCCAAAGGCACAAATTGAGCGCCGTATATGCACGAGTTTTCTAGGGGGTCCAGGGCATGCTCATCAGGAAAATTTTTGAATCTAGACTCTCTGAAATGCCATTTCCAGGACTTTGGGGAGATATTTTACAGAATTCTGATGGTCAGAAAACAACATTGTAACATATCAGAGGCCCAGGCCAATGTTTTTGCTCTATCGCCTAAACCTGGGGGCCCCCATTGGGGTTGGGGGCCCCCGGGTTCTCCCGGTCTGAGCCCATAGTAGTTACGCCACTGCGTCTCCCGCGAGATTTATTTATTGTCTCGATCTACAGGTTATTGTAGATGGAAATCTCCAGTGTAAACTTTATACATTTGTTAGACCCAACCACGAGCAGCTGCGAAAAATGCATTGAACAATCCAGTATAGGCTTACTTCGAACCTGCGGCCTTGCAATTCAGGTGAAGAGCTCTTAACCAACTGAGCTACAGAGTCCAGTTGTCAAGCTCTAACCGCAAGTCCATGTATACACAATTCACCATTTTTTGATAATTAAATGGTATTAGATATGAAAGAGGTCGTTGATAAGAAAGACATCAACATCAGATCTCCAAATTCACCGGTATAAGTATACGCCTAAACTTCTGGTGTAGCGATTTACTTGTTCTTTAGTTTTTCATGCGGCGATACCATTTTCCTATCATTTAGTTTCAACGATGGAGAGTATTCCCAGTTGTCTGGATAGAAATTGATCTTCAGTCGCTTCTCTTTTTTCCCTAAATTTGCGAATAGAATAATCTGTTCACGACGTCACACCAGACGACGCCACGTTCTTCCTTAACGTCATTAATTTTTAAATTTTTATTCACTTTATTATGCTGTATAGCAATATATAGTTTACGCCGGAGCCGTTCTATCAGTTAAAACAACATTATACTAGAATTAAGCATGCATGTGAATGTCTGTTTGAGAAACATCTGGTTTCAATGAAGAAGTGCAACCTGTGTTTCCCCACTGAAGTAAAATGTCCTAATGTAGTCCAGAGAAAATAGAATTTAAGATAGCAGCGGCCTCGTTTCTTAGCAATGTCTTGTTCCAGAAAAATATAATTGAATTAAAACTTGAATTTAAATTATACAAGGTCATTGTCCAAATAGAGAACGATGCGTAGTGTGCACTTTCCATGTCGACAAAAATTGGGCCCATTGCAGACGGCAGCATGCAAAGAGCGAAACAGAGTACCACAATGAAACAAGATTTTGCATGCTTGATTTCACGAAGTAGACGTCTTTTTTTGGAAATTTGTCTTGCGATATCGACAGGCCGTTTTTCGGAGCGTTCTAACGTTCTTATCACAAGGTAGATTTTCATGTACGCATAAGCAGTGAAGAAAAACTGCGCTAGTAATACTGCTGAAATAGAGTATTCTAACGCACTTATTGGTGCGTGAATCAATAAAATGAAACTTGTAATATGCATGGTAAAGCTCCATACACTCACATAGATTTTAATGTGTGATCTTGTAACAACAATTGGGTAGGAATACGGGTGTAGCACACCAATGTACCTTTCCACTGTCATCGCAGTTAATGTACCAGCTGATAGCGCAGGGGCCAAGAGTGCAGATACAAGTAAAATTACAATAGCCAGACAGTTTTGAATGCCCAACAACGGCGCGGCTAAGTAGATGATAAATAAAGGTATACTAAAAACACCGATGCCCAAATCAACGACAGACTGTACCAGGATAACAAAGTAGCAAAGTTTGTTCTTTAGCTGAGATGATTTTCTGATTGTTACCACGGAAAGTAAGTTGAGGATTATCGCGGAAAATATTAAAATAACATTGAAAACAATGAGTAAGATTCTATTTTTCATATCAACTCTGTTGACAATCAAGAGCCATATATTCCAGCTTTTATGTACAGTGTCAGGGCATTTTGTATCGTTGAATTCACTGGCGTAAACCATGATTCACTGGTTATGCGCGCCGTCTTGCGATTTAATGCAATGTTTTTGCGACTTTCTGTTCTTTAATACGATTCTTTCACAAGGCTGATCTTTATAGTCATTAGCATTTAAATTGCTTTTGTGCACCATTAAATGGCCTTACATGCATTTTCAATCTCAGTAATTTCACACTAACATTTAGCAACTAAGGGCCTGTTCATATTTTTTTATGAGCGCAGCTAACCGGGAAAGTTACCAAGAGTGAGATTTACATGCCCTTTGTTAACACATATGAAAATTCAATTTATGTTCATACGAGAAACGATGCAGGTGAGATATCACGTTACGCTATATACCAGGTGCAATCTCGATTAAGTTAACTGTCTAACTGCATGGGATAAAATTTCCACATATGGAAGCTTTATCCCACCTGACCTGGACGGACATTTCTCGCCGACTTAGACCTATAGGAATAGTATTTTGCAGGTTCATATATTCGGTTCAGTGATGCTATGTAGATGAAAATACCTCCATTCGATCGAGAAAAAAATATATCATAATTCCTAACGATAGTTTTAGTTAATGTCAAAATTATAGCGATTTATAGACTTTGAAAATCAAGCGAGATCGTATATTATATTATATCTTATTGTTACCTAATATTGAAGTCGAGACTTAATATTTTGCCACATTGGACGAAGATGAATCCAACAAGAGTTTTATATATATCGAACAAAACAATTCTATAACAAAAAATTGTCAATAAGCGATAAAGTAATACAGCAAGAATACTACAGCGACAACATTACTACATACATCGGCGGTGAATTTGCTTAAATAACTGAACAAAAAGATAATAAGCCTGTTTTTACAAATATGTGTGATAAATAAACTCATTTCCATGTATGTTTAAAGGAAATTTGACCTAATTTTAACGAAAAAAATAATTACTAACTTTTAGGTTGTTGCAAACAAATAAATTTCGCGAAGACAAGTTTTCCAGCGCTTTTATAATTTTAAAACAAAACTGGTAAAAAAAAACTGTATTAATGTCCCAAATTATTTTCATTACTCTCGTATGTTTGAAATTGACAAAACATCTGAAAAGGGTTGAAAAACCATGAAAAAAGCCACAATTCGCAGCTGTCCAATAGGTTCCTGTCCAATATCGTAAAATATTGGATCGGCACGTGACCCTCTCAACGATTACTGATTGGCTAAGTGCGCGTGAGTGTATAATAATATCAAATTACTCAATTTTCTGAATAAATTATAAACTAGCCTTTCGCCTAACATAACTTCGGCCCCTTGCATCTTTTATTACGGTATTTCCATTTCTGGTCCGACTGTGAGTTAGTCCCAACGGGGAATACAATTTTGAAACGTCAAAACAATGCGATGTTTACATCTTATCAGTCTGGAAATGCCAGAAATCGATTCTAAAGGTCAAAGTGCACATATGCGTGTGAATCGACGTGTATCCGGCTACGGGTGCTTCTTATTGACCAAGTATAGCGTGTCATCTTGTATAACATTTTCCAACTTTCCAACACTGTTAATAGTTATAATCTAAGAGGTTCTTCAACTGGGCTTTTTATTCCAAGGCCCAGGACAGAATTTTTTTAAAAAAGTTTCAGTTACTGTGGGGCTAAATTATGGAATAGAATACCAGAAAATATTCGAAATTCGATATCTTACAACTCGTTTTGTAAAAACCTTTTCTCCTCGCCCTCGGCCTCCCAATTATTAAATTAAGTAGTTTAGTTATGTGAATATTTAATAGCATTTATATAATAATAGTTTGCATGCATTAGTAAATCAGTCTTAAAATTGTAACAATTACCCAGCACATCTGTCATGGAAATCAGCCCATAATGTTGAATGAGATTAGTGTGCCTAAATAAAGTTCTATCTATCTATCTATCTATCTATCTATCTATCTATCTATCTATCTATCTATCTATCTATCTATCTATCTATCTATCTATCTATCTATCTATCTATCTATCTATCTATCTATCTATCTATCTATCTATCTATCTATCTATCTATCTATCTATCTATCTATCTATCTATCTATCTATCTATCTATCTATCTATCTATCTATCTATCTATCTATCTATCTATCTATCTATCTATCTATCTATCTATCTATATCTGGCATACACGCCCGTTACTCCCGCGTGAGCAGGTTTTCAAAGCCCGCTCCGCCCGCGCGGGCAAAGCGACTGCTATGGAAACCGGCCTTAAGGCAATTTTCCATTGCAGTCGCTTTGCCCGCGCGGGCAGAGCAGGCTTTGAAAATCTGCTCACACGGGCGTGACGGGCTTCAAAAACAATGAACGATCCGCCCGCGCGGGCAAAGCGACTGCAATGGAAAATTGCCTTTAAGGACGAACGAACTCTACGGTTCAATTCAAAAAAGTTCGAAAGATGCAAAATTTGGGCAATGTTTATATCTGGAGGTCCCTCTTTATTTTGAGCAGTACTGATGCTCAGATTGGAGTGGAAATCATCTTTAACATTTTCATTCAGTTTTTACAATGTGGCACAAAATGACATTTTGAGCCAAAATGTTTTTAAAGGGATTAGCCTTTATTTTTAACATCGTTTGCAATGTTCTGAAAAGCAGCGGGAAATGACAAAAGTGGCAAAAACAGCAGAGTAATGTATATTATAGCCTTTACTTAATTCTTGGTCACTTTTCGCCACTTTTAATTACGTTTTGACTATTTTAGCCGTCTTTCTAATAGCTCTTAAAAGTGACCAAAGAGGGGCAAAATCGTAAAGGTTAAAAGTGAAGGGGTAGGGGGTTGTAGAAGCATTTACCTTTAAGCCATTTTGTCCACTTTTTCAAAAATAGAACAAGTTGGCTAAAATGTATGGCCTAAGGTTTGGCCTAAGGTTTTAAACAATAAAAGTCGTGACCTCCTCCGTGCTGGCGCAATGCACTCAGGTGAACATGATGCCCGTGATGTCACTCCGAGTGTACATCCACACCGGGCAAGCTTGAAAAATATGCCTGACCACGGTGGGAATCGAACCTACGACCTCTGGTATACTAGACCAATGCTCTGCCAACTGAGCTATGCGGTCTGGCCGGCCCGAGTCTGTGATATTTCGGAACAGAATCTAGTTCCTTCGATAGAACACGACAAACTGTTTGTAACTCACGACAAACTGTTTGTACAATTGACATGTTGAAAACTCACGACAAACTGTTTGTACAATTGGCATGTATAAAACCACAGTTTATAGAATAAAAATATAATTAAATGATATAGTAAACATATTTTTACCATAATAATATACTAGCAAAATATCTATACAATACATGCAATAAAAAATGATATTAGAAAAACAGTTAAAATTACAAATTGATTAAAGTCAAAATCACATCACCACACTGCGCACGTATCTGTCGGCGGTGTGCATCCAAAAGTTTCACTAAATTTAGGAAAATTATGCAACGGAACCCGTACTCTGAAAAATGAAAGTAAGAAAAACGTGTTAAATAGACATTACCCCAGATCCAGTCAAGAATCGAAAGAATCCGAACCTACAATCATGTGCAAAAATAATGAGACTTTACGTATTTCAAAACATTTTTTTTCTCATTTTGACACATCTACACTCATATAATTCGATCTTTTTTTACTATTTCCCCCTCCCCCATTGACAATGTTGGGTGATAATTTTCAACACACACTTGAAAAAAAAAAATTAAAACAATTATTTGACAGCTAACGTAAATTGATCGTAAAAAACGGGGAGAAAGATTGAGGAATTTAGGTAATTTCATTAACAATTTTTCATAAAATATTTGTTTTAAGCACTAGGAACGATGTATTATTTTCTCAATTTTACAAACACTAAGTATATTACTCCAAAAGATAGTACTGCAAATGTATAGGGCCGTTTTGGGCGGTTAACGCACATAACTCTACATGTTACCACATGTTACCATCATGTTACCATTTTTTCTCTATTCATTTCTATATATAATGAACGTGTTACATGTATGAAACCTAACATGTATGAAACCTAACATGTAACATGTATGAAACCTAATATAAATCGATGCAAACGCGCGTATTAGAAATGTCAACAGGTTTTTAACTGTTTCTCAAAGCATATTAAGACTGTCGTGTTGTTTTTTCAAGTTTTTTGCCATGTTACAATTGCATATGACAGTGAAAGCCTTGTTGTTAGTGCCTTTCAATACAATATGTGCCCAGTGATGTGGCGATAAATTGTACGTTGAAAAGAGAAAGCTTCAAATACAGCGGCCGTAAACAATTCTTTGGTGGAAAATATTGGAAGATCGAATGGGCCATATGTTATTAAGTATAGGAACGCCGTGGTTTCTACTATGAATTTTGTCTATCGGCCCTGCGCGCTATTGAGATATAAGACGGTATTTTCGCAAATTAAAACGTTTAGACCGACATTATAGCGAATAATCACTTTACATGCTATTGATAGCTTTTTGACAAAATCTATTGAATGTAGCTCACTTTGTTATAACCCAGACAATCATGTGCAAAAATAATAAGACTTTACGTATTTCAAACATTTTTTGTCCATTTTGACACATCTACACTCATATAATTCGATCTTTTTTTACTATTTCCCCCTCCCCCATTGACAATGTTGGGTGAATCTTTTCAGCCAACACTGTG